GGTCTTCCATTGAAATATTGGTGATGAATGAAATGTTCCAATAGTGTATTCTAGGAAATTGGTTGTTTACTGATATTCAGTGACTTTGTGTTTGGAAGAGGGCATTTTGTTTTAATTCTTTATCTTTAAAAAGAAAATGTCTGCAGAGGCACCTGAGCTCTGTGTAAACTGTAAACTTTGGTGGTGGTTTTGAGTCACAGATGCATTTTCCCCAGATGCAACTGTTACTCATACCCTACCTAAAGAGATGCTTCAAAATGCATCATACCTTGTTGGTATGTCAGATATATGCCCAGTTGTGCTGTGCACAGGAGGGAATGTGGCTCAGGACCATGTGTGTGTGAGGTTTATTGGAATGGCACTTTAAACACCCACACAGTGGCTCCATCCCTGGGATGAGTGCTGTGGTGGGGAGGTGGACAGTGTTGTGAGAACCTGATCTGGTCTCCCATCCAGTGATGGTCTAAAGAAATATTTCTTGAGCTGAGATCTAAAAGAGGAATACTGGGTAGCAGGAGATTATTATAAGCAATGGGCATATATTACAGAGGCCCCATGCTAGGCAGGCACCTGGGCTATTTAGGAAAGGCCAATGGGCAGAGAAGTTATGGGCTGCCTAGTAGATGACTCCAAATGAAGGCACAGCACCTCCTTGTTCCTTCCTACACAGCAACCTCAGTTCATCTCAGTTTTTTTTTTTTTTTTTTTTTTTTTTTTTTTTAACTACAGTGTGATGAGTGGCGATGCCGCCTGGAATTTCATGAGTAGATTAATATGATGGGTCACAAATAGAGCTACTTGCTGCTTGAGGCGTCTTGGGCTGTCTTCCCTTAAGAGTGAAGCTAGCCAGTGTTGGTAACAAGATACTTGCCTCTTCCTCTCAACCGTTCAGTTTTTCCTTTTAGATCTCTTTTCTTTGCAAAGAAATATCTGTGTTACAGGTATTTGCTATACACTAAGAACAGGATATGACAGAAGCTTAGAAGGTTGTATGGTGTACCATGGTACAGAACTGCAGTCCCAGCACCTGGGGGACAGAGGCCAGGAGTGCAAAACCTGGAGGTCACTCTGGAACACACAATGAGATCTTATCTCACAAACAAAACTAGTAGAAAGGAACTGGCAAAGAGAGCCATCCTAGGTTATACAGCATGTTAGAACTTGTCTCCACCAATAAAAGATTTTTGGACAGTATTATCTTGAGTTCCTACTGCCTTTGCCTGAGTGCTTCCTGACAGTGCAGACCTGGACCGAGCAGCTTCCTGGCTCCTCTTAAGAAGAAAAGCTCTTGCACTTGACCTGGAGCTGGAAGTGCTTTGGTGGTTTCAGGTCCTCCCTTTCTCCCCAGTGGTGTGGTGCCAACAGGAAATACCCTGGGTTACCTCCGGTCTGAGAATGCTCCTTTGTGTAGACTGGAATTCTTTCTGGTCATCTTCCTTGCTCCTTTCCTTGTTTCAAGGAAGCCCTGTAGATTTTCTGGTCATTTTAGTTCTGGGTGATTGTTCTGGTTTTATCATTCTAGCTGGCAGCTGATTGAATCTATAAAAACCAAGTGTCTATAGTCATGTGCTCATTTAGACAGAACAGCATCTCATCCCAGCATGTTAGTGCAGATGTGACCCATTGCTTTGCCTTAAAGGTGTAAGCTATTTATGTGCTGCAGACTCAAGAACTCTGGTGCCTACCATCAGAAGAATGCCTTTTTGTCTCCAAACTGATGGGCTCTCCTCTTATTCCTGCTCTTCGGGTTCTTCGTTTTCCCTGTCATTTAACCACTCTCCAGTTCTTGAGGACGGTGTCTGACAGGAGGACCCAGGGATGCAGTCTCGTTCCTTACCTCTATGTACGCTGACAGTCCTGTCAGGGTGGGGCTAGCACAGCAGCTCACGTTTGTAATCTTACTCTCAGGAGGCAGAGAGGCAGGAGAAGCACTACAGATCTGAGGCGAGTTCAGGCTGCATAGTATCTCCAGAAGATAATAAATAAAATAAAAGTTTAAGAATTCTCCAAGCCAGGCAGAAGCAGGCGGATCTCTGTGAGTTTGAGGCCAGCCTGGTTTACAGAGTGAGATCCAGGACAGTCAGAGCTGCACAGAGAAACCCTGCCTCGAAAAAAAGAATCCTCCAGTGTATCCTCTGTGGAATAGACTTTGCTATGATAGCTTCTTTTACTGAATACTTATCGTGGTAGCCACCAAGTGTGTGTGGTCTTATTGTATTCAAAAGGCTTACACTGGAAAACAAGGGAATTATTTTGTGAGGTCTTTTAGATGTAGCTAAAATGGATGCAATCTAACTACATTTCTGATGTAGGAGGCTTTAAAAATTTATTTTCAAACTTTTTTTTGCTATAGTGTTGTAAAGAATTTATATGTGTGTGTGGTGGGGGTAATGCTCATGCTTGTTGTGTTTTTCAATTCCAAATAATACATTTTATTGAAAATAAACAACACTGGCTTTTGGCCCTCTATAATATCATAACAAGCAGCAGTATGATCCAGTGCCATCTGGGAACCACAGCGTTACATACTAGACTAGGATGGTACCATAGAACATTTGGATACTGTTACTAAGGACCAAAACAAAACTACAAATGCTTACTGAGCATCGGCCACCTTTGCCACACTGGGTCCTAGAGACAAGCTTGAACAACCCTGTGCCAGTTTGCCACCTGGTTTATGTACTTTACACAGTGTATTAAGCTGACATTTTCCAGGGGATGATATTTTGAAAATTATATTAAGCAAGGCAAGCAAAACAATAGTCACTTACCTAGAGCAGGGTGAGACTTTCCTCCTCAAGCACAGTGGGGTGTTTAAATGGAGAGCTCATCTCTTGTTTAGGAGGATTGTCAGTGGTGAATATTGCTAGCTGATCCCTCCCGTGATGTGTGCTGTTTTCAGTAAGATGGCCGTTGTTCTGTTAATTCTGCTCTACCACTGGCGTCGTGTCTCTCCCACTCTCTGAATTTAAAGGACTCTGCCATTTTGTTTTAAAAAAAATGTATTTCCAATCTTTTTCTCATACACTATTAAAAAATATTTTTCCGGGCGGTGGTGGTGCATGCCTTTAATCTCAGCACTTGGGAGGCAGAGGCAGGCAGATCTCTGTGAGTTTGAGGCCAGCCTGGTCTACAGAGTGAGATCCAGGACAGTCACCAAAACTACACAGAGAAACCCTGTCTTGAAAAAACAACAACAACAGCAAAAAATTTAAAAACTTTTAGGCTTGAAAACACACTAAGTATGCACAACTGTCATCTGCTACATAAGCTCCCTCCAAATCCATAGTTCTATCCCACAAATGGTCTCAGGGCTATACAATTTGGAAGACAGTGTTTGAATTGGCTAAGGGTTGGTAAACTAAAATTTACTGTTCTGTTGCTGTGGTTACTTCAGGAATAAAAGCCTGCTGGGTGAGTAGTTGTCCTCTGTGAGCATACTAGAGTGGGAAATGAGGTTTAGCCTTATTCTGCATTAACAACCATTGCATGTTGGTGCATGTCCACTATATGGCTCAGCTTCCTTCCGTCTGTGATGAGAGGTGAGACTGAGTTTTCTCCATGCTCCTGAGCTCTGTTCTCTGGGACTGTGTTCTAGGGCTTTCTTGCTGTGGGATGGTCTGTATGGCAAATGTGTTGCTCTGATTGGTCAATAAATAAATCACTGATTGGCCAGTGGCCAGGCAGGAAGTATAGGCGGGACAAAGAGGAGAATAAAGCTGGGAAGTGGAAGGCTGAGTCAGAGAGACACTGCCAGCCGCCAGGACAAGCAGCATGTGAAGATGCCGGTAAGCCACGAGCCACGTGGCAAGGTATAGATTTATGGAAATGGATTAATTTAAGCTATAAGAACAGTTAGCAAGAAGCCTGCCACGGCCATACAGTTTGTAAGCAATATAAGTCTCTGTGTTTACTTGGTCGGGTCTGAGCGACTGTGGGACTGGCAGGTGAGAGAGATTTGCCCTGACTGTGGGCCAGGCAGGAAAACTCAAGCTACACTTTCTGTTTGGAAAAAACGCCAAGTAAGAATTGTTACTCATCCTTACATGTGCTGACAAAATAATGAAGCAGATTTTTTATGTAAGGAATAAAACTGTGTGGACAGTTTTCAGTTGCTTTGCCACTGTTTCGGGTGTGGCTGGGGAGGCTGTCAGGGACATTGTCATCTTATTCTGGGGGGTTTACCTGGCATTGGATGACTTCTTTGGTTACAGTTGAAAATGCTCTTGCGTTGAGGATGGGTTGTGCTTCAGTTACAATCTTTATGATGAATAGAAGAAATTACACCTGTCACCTGGTGGCAATTCACAGTTCTGTTTTTTTCTTTATCAGGATAAGTTTCATAAGACAAAATTATACCTATTAATGGTGTAATGAGTCTATTTGTATGCAATTGAAATGAAAAAGTCTGCTAGTAAAGAAGTTGGGGATGGATTAGGAAGAAAATTATGGCTAGTATATCATGATGTCATAGATGGAGTAGATAGACATGCACCACATCCAGACTCCAAACTAAAATGCATTTTGTTAGCCCAGGTTCTATAATTGTCAAGTTTGTGAGAAAACCATAACTTGCCTTAAAATTTTATAATTATTGTCCCATAAGAGATTAACCATTCCATGAGTGCAATGTTGAGATGCACAGAACCATTGGACTCTTCTGAGTGGTCAGTGATGGGTGTCATCTGCTGAGTGCCCTCTCCTCTTCCTCACTTTCCCCTTCTCCTTTCTCTTTTCTTTTTAAGAAACAGTTATATATTCTACTTTAGTGTGCTTTTTGCTACCCAAATTTACATATAAGCAGAGCCTTCTTTTTACCATAAATCCCTCAAATTCTTCCAGTCTTAAGAGCTGACAGAGCAAAAGCATGATATTGCCTGGTTAACAATTGGTCTTCTCTTTAAGGGGATTCAGTCTACCTTGAGTTTGTTCGGTTAGCTCTTTACAGTTAACGGGTGAATTTACAAAATCAACTTAAATCTATTATTTTTCCTCAACAGGGTTAGTCACCTCATTTTAGTAGAGCCATGGGGTTTTCCCGAGCGACCAGATCTTGCTGATCAAGAGAGACCAATTCCAGTTTGGATCAGAGCCCTAGGAGCAGCATTGACTCCCTTTAACCCCTTGGCTGGCCTCAGGATTGCAGGACCTTTTGGTGAGTATTCATGTCCTGGGAAGGAACAATGTTTATAGATGAACAGTAGAAGTGTGCCTGATTCCTCTACCTAGGATAGGAGAGGGCTGCATCCCATTAAAGCCACTGTCAACTCAAAGTACCAACCTAACATCATGGAGCAGCAGCAACAGCACAGTATACTGTAGAGCTCTTATGAATGGCTGGTCAGGTGGGTCACTATCACTTCCTGTCATCACAGGAGAGTCTGGTTCCGCATGTCAGCTCAGGAAACCATCAAAATTCACAGTATGATTTTTACTGAACACCTATTGCTTCTCTACTGTCCTAAATTGAAGTGTCATCCATCTGTGTTTACTGATCACCATTGTTAGTCAAAGTCGTGAATAAATCAGAGCTCTTACTTCCCTGATTATCCCTTAATAAGTGTCAGGCTGAATAATAATAAGATGAAGCTAATCACTTTCCTTGAGAGGGAGCTTTTATATGGTAAAACATTGCAAGTAATTAGCAAAGCAGAGACAGAGGGAAGTGCTGGGGATAAGGTAGGTCAGTCTCAGGACCCTAAAATCCAAGTAAATGCAGTATCGGATGTGGGCAGGCATGAAGCATGATGACCTCTGGTGATCATTTGAGAGTATGTGGCTATCAGAGAGAATTAAGCAGTAGATCATAAAACCTAATTGATTGACTGTGGAGCTGACCAATGTCACCATACTCAGATTTCTTCTTTCCTCCTTCCTGTTAGTGTGATGAAAGGTAAAACCATCGTTTGCATGAACATTTTGGGGACTCCTGATTATTTATTTAAGTATTTATTTGTTTTGAGTATTAATGTTTAGACTCTTAGTTCCAATGTCTTAGCTCATAGCCACAGAAATTTCCTTCTCTGAGCCTCTACTCTGCCCCCTTACAGTTTGTATAAGTTGGTAGTGCTTTTGGCAATAAATAACTGAATATCTGATAAATGCCTTAAACCATGAGGTGGGTGGCTCTATCACTTTCTGCTAGCTTCTGTGATGTTGGTGCTTGTTTCTGTGCCTCTGATGATGAAAATTATCAACTGAGACACGGTTTCACTATGTAGCCCCAACTGGCCTGGAACCCAAAATGTAGATCAAGCTGACCTCAAGTTCACAGAGATCCACCTGTCTCTGTCTTCTGAGTGGTAGAATTAAAGGTGTATACCACCATCCTGACCTATGTCTGTGATCCTTTTAACAATCTTAAAAAAAAAAAAATTGTGTATGTATGGGTGTTTTGTCTGCATGTATGCCTGTACACCATGTGTATTCCTGGTGCCCTAGGAGGCCAGAAGATGGCATCAGATACCCTGGAACTGGAGTTACAGATGGTTTTGAGCCACTATGTGGGTGCTGGGAACTGAACTCAGGAAGACCAGCCAGTGCTGTTAACTGCTGAGTCATATCTCCAGCCCTGTGTCTGTGATCCTCTCTTCCCTGGTTGTTATCCAATGATTCCATGACATGAAGTCTCATCTCACAAAGCAGCTCCTGGAACGAAGAGGAAAACAGGAAAAATGCTCTCTAGAATCTTCTATGGCAGTGAAGAAGGCTCCAGTAGACCATCTCTTCTCTCTCTCTGCCTACCACTAGTTCTTTGTCTAGGATACATTTCTGTTCCTGATGACAATTTGCTCCAGAGCTCAAGGGAAGTCAGCCTTCCTTGGCAATTGCTGCCTAAATCAGTACGATAGAAGAAGGCTGCATTCTATTAGCAGGAAAAGGAGAGAGGCATGGGAAGGCAGATAAAGGTATAGAGTGACCACTCCCTGGCTGGCTAGATTCTGTTTCCTTCTTTCCAGTCCTGGAAACCTCCTTGCCCTTTGGGTGAGAACAGTTGGGTAAGGGAGTCATAAGAAACTACAGGGTTAAACTAGTGACATGCGATACTTCTCCAGGGCTCATTCAGATACAATTTCTCCTCCTTCAGTCTGTCTTAATAACCACTCCTTTCTGGATATTTGGCTGCCCCTTGGTGAGCTTTTTGGATACTCATGAAATGTGAACAGATTGTACTGCATCACCAGCATACAAATAACAATTATGGGGAAAGGAAAGTGTGAAAAGAAATTAGGCCGGGCAGTGGTGGCGCACGCCTTTAATCCCAGCACTCGGGAGGCAGAAGCAGGTGGATCTCTGTGAATTCGAGGCCAGCCTGGTCTACAGAGCAAGATCCAGGACAGGCACCAAAACAACACAGAAAAACAAAAAAAAAAAGAAAGGAAGGAAGGAAGAGAAAGAAAGAAAGAAAGAAAGAAAGAAAGAAAGAAAGAAAGAAAGAAAGAAAGAAAGAAAGAAAGAAGGCAGTCTTAATGAATTTTCACATCACTAACCAAATACGTTACCAAAACAGAGAGCAATGGATTTACATTAATTCAGTTTCAGGGGTTTTTGGATCATTGTGACTGGGAAGGAATGCACATCATGGTCATGGAGGCTGTTCACATCCTCCAGACCAGGAAACATCCATTCTAGTTGCCTGTTTCTACCAGCTAGGCCCTGCCTCCTCAATTCTCTATCGCCTCCCAAAATAGTGCCACCAGCTATTTGTTTAGAACCTGAGCCTGTAGGAATGTTTAAGGTTCAGACAGGCATTGACAGGTGGAGTATAGAGCCAGTTCTCCATCTTCTGCTACTGCCTGTGCTTGGGCATGGCTGAGGTGACACAGAAAATCATCTGTGGCTCAGAATTCTCCAAGTGATGTGATTCTTCAGAAGTGGGAGAGCCAAGCAAAGAAGGAACATTTTGCTAGAATAATGAGCAGTGAGTGATCCAGGAGAAAATAGGCAGTGTGGAGCCCTACAACAAACAACCGGGCCACAAGAGGCCTCTGCTCTCTGTTTTCCTTGAGGCCTTGTGCCATCAGTATGACTCAGGAGGGAATATCTGAGTGTCCCAAACAGAAATTGTGAGTTTATTTTATCATAGAGGAAAAAAATTATATATCACCTCGTTTGCTTATTTAAACTCTAACATATTCTTATTATGTTACTACCGAGAGAAAAGAATTCAAGCCAATAATGTGATTTTATGTATAGGCTGCTCTATTCAATGACCTCAGTTAACAAATTTATTCTACAAAAACAAGTTCTTGGAAATTAAGATATTTGAAGCTTCTACAGAACACCTGTAGGTCAATGTAGAGCACCCTTCAAGGGAACTGGAGAGCATCTTTCAGGATGTATGCTTTTTTCCAACCTAAAATATATATTTAAAAACATGTATATACATAGCACTTATAAGTAAACACCATTTCTATGCTGTAAGTTAATAACTTAGAAGATATGTGTTTTTATTTTCTGTCAAATAGGGTTAAGTCTAGTGCAGCGCTTAAGGCCTGATTTCAAACGGAAGTACTCCTCTATGTTTGAAGATGACACTGTGACAGAGTACATCTACCACTGTAATGTACAGACCCCGAGGTAAGGTTTATGATTCTAAATTTTTTCTCATTTTTATTAGTTCCTTGAAAATTTTGTACAATCTAATTTTGATTATAGTTACCTTTCCCCCAGCTCCTCCCATAATTATCCCCCTTCCCTACTTAACCAGCTTTGTGTCCTCTTTTTTTTTTTTTTTTTTAACCTATAAAATGCAGTTGGTGCTGCTCATATATTTTGGGTGTGTGACCTTCTACCAGAGGGTGGTTGACCTGCCAGGGAACACACCTTAGAGAAAACTGGGTCTTCCTCTCCCAGCAGCCGTCAGTTGCCACTAGCTCCTTAACCAGGGGTAGAACTTCATGCCCTCTTCCCTTTGCCTTTCCAGGCTGGGATTTTGTCTTGTTTGAGCTTGTTCAGGTCTTGTGTTTGTGTGTGTGTGTGTGTGTGTGTGTGTGTGTGTGTGTGTGTGTGTGTGTGTGCTGTCACAACTGCCATTAGTTTCTATGTGAGGCTTCCCTGCTGTGTCTAAAAAACTATAATTCTAAATTTACTGTTTGTGCTTCAAACTTTTCTTTTTATAAATTTGTATTTATTGGTAATTAAATATATTTTAAAAGGGATATTTCTGCTACATAATTCTCTATCTACTCATAAAGTGACCATTATGTAAAAACATTGTGTATTCTGATGGGCATTATAAATAAGATACACTTTCTTCCCCTCAAAAAGTATGGCTAATCTGAGGACAGTTTAGGTTAGGAATCTCAAAGAGGAGGTCTAGGTTGAGAGAGAAAAGAATTTCACTTCAAACTTATTTCCTAAACTGAGTGTGGAGGCTTCACAACACAGGAGGTGCCCAGTTAAACAAAGGCAGTGTCTGCAGACTGCTAGAGTCTTGCAGGCGTGTGCACGTGGGAGAGGCTAGGCAGCACTCTTCAGTGCACGTGGCTGCTATCACCCACCTTACTGAGCATCTCCTAATGTCTGCGCATCAGTGTAAGAAGCATGGCTTCACGGGTTAGGGCTGAGAAGGGTGAGTGGGGTAGTGTTCTGCTTGTTAACTTTAGGACTAGAGAGGGAGAGAGTACTCAAACAAGTGCAGAGCAGCCAGAAAAAGCAAGGGAACAAACGTATGGTTTCCTAAAATAGGACTTTGGGTACTAGGTGCAAGGTGGCAGTAGAGAGAGCAAACTGAAGATGTGGGGCACTGGGGGAAGCCTCAAGAAGGGAGCTTCAGGTTCTGTGGTTTGTGGTGTGTCAACTGTAGCTAGAGTTTTCCTGCCTGGCCCACAGTCAGGACAAATCTGTCACCCACCAGTCCCACAGCCGCTCAGACCCAACCAGGTAAACACAGAGACTTGTATTGCTTACAAACTGTATGGCCGTACCAGGCTTCTTGCTAACTGTTCTTATAGCTTAAATTAATCCATTTCTATAAATCTATACCTTGCCACGTGGCTCATGGCTTACCGGCATCTTCACATGCTGCTAGTCATGGCGGTGGCTGGCAGTGTCTCCCTCAGCCTTCTGCTTCCCAGAATTCTCCTCTCTCCTTGTCCTGCCTATACTTCCTGCCTGGCCACTAGCCAATCAGTGTTTTATTTATACAGAATGATATCCAAAGCACTTCCCTTTTCTTTTTTTTCAAAAAGGAAGGTTTTAACCTTAACACAGTAAAATTACATATAATTTGGGAATTTGGGTGTAGCTTCTCTTACTACTTCCTGCTGGAGGGGGGCGCTGTATCTCATGGGGACATAAAGAAAATTTTAGGATCATGGAGTAGTCTGTGAGGGTGTATCGTCTGAGTCAGTTGCCTTGAAATGGTTTTGGATGTTGGATCATCTGGGCCTTGGTGTCATCGGAGACCTTTCAGGGGGTCTTGGCTGGTCAAACCTGATATATCTTAATCTGGAACAAATCCATAGCCTCTGGCTTTCTGTGGAAACAAAAGCAGAGCCTCCTTTCCAAAGCAACATATCCTTACATCCAAATTTTGAAGTCAAGGTACCTTTAAAATATACATTTTGACTTAACTCAACAGCTTTTACAATCAAATGTTTTTCGTCAGTTACGAATATCAAAGAGGACATAATCCAGATTCTTTTTGTGGTAGCCATCTTTACGTGGCTTATTTTTTATATTACCTTGAGCCTATTGCTTTAAACTGTACCATTCTAAGACTGAAAAGGCTCTGTGGCTGCTGACTCTGCCCACCCCAGCTTCCCAACATGGCGGTGATACGTTTACCACCAGCTCTGGGAGCTATCGTGGGTCTATGCATCTATCAAAGCAGCATGTAGCCCAGAAACCTCTTTTTTTGTTTTGTACTAGCAAAGGCTAAATCCACCATGCAGCTTAATGTGCCACTTGCAGAGGCCTCATTCCCACCATACTGCAGGTTGAGCATGCACGCCAGGAACCCGCCATAGTAGCTCAAACGCACAGGCTGCCGCTAGCTTGAAAGAGACAACTAGGAGCTGTTTTTAGCTCCGTTTTAGAATCTTTTTACTCAGGTTTTAGGTGGAAACTCTTGCCGACACGTTGGACGCCATTTGTAGCTAGAGTTTTCCTGCCTGGCCCACAGTTAGGACAAATCTCTGTCACCTGCCAGTCCCACAGCCGCTCAGACCCAACCAAGTAAACACAGAGACTTATACTGGTTACAAACTGTATGGCCGTACCAGGCTTCTTGCTAACTGTTCTTGTAGCTTAAATTAATCCATTTCTATAAATCTATACCTTGCCACATGGCTCATGGCTTACCGGCATCTTCACATGCTGCTAGTCATGGCGGCTGCTGGCAGTGTCTCCCTCAGTCTTCCGCTTCCCAGAATTCTCCTCTCTCCTTGTCCCGCCTATACTTCCTGCCTGGCCACTAGCCAATCAGTGTTTTATTTATACAGAATGATATCCACAGCAGTCAACAGTGTGATCCCTGCTGGGCATGGGGCATGAAGTTGAGGGACATTCACAGGGAGTTTGAACCCAGCCTGGGAGACCACCAAGCACAGTGACTCCTAACCCAGTTTAAGGCTGGGACTCAGGAGTTCTAGGCTGCATCCATGACAAATGCTTGAGCCGTCCTCTTACGTGCAGGCCTGGGATGAGTGCTCATCAGGCAGGCCTGGGGCAAGGCCAGGATGCGTACCCAGCCTCCTCCTGTGTTTTCCCTCCTCCTGCCCTCCCTGTTGGAGGTTAGACCCATGGAAACCATCGGTGGGTCGAGCTGCAGCAGCAGTGTGTGAAAGTAGGTTAGAGTCTCTGTCAGTAGAGGAGCTGGAGGCTGCTGATCCTAAGAGATTGTAGTTTTGTGACTGACTGGCTGGTCACTTGTGTCTCTGTCGTCATTGACTTGTTCAGCAATTTCTAGGGGCTTCTGCAGAGCATCCATTACTCCCAGCTTCAGTTTCTTATTTTGAATTAGAAGAAAACTTTAAATTAGCAACAATTATATACTATAGCTTTGTTTAATAAGCAGTAATGTATGGATTTCCCCTTTACATTATCTAGTAAATTGTTTAAAGGCTTAAATAAACATTTTTCTTAAACCCTGGAAAGCCAAATATGAGTATGTTTTAATGATGAGACTGTAGTGCAGACTCATCCCCAGGATCATGCAGTGTGCTTCTCCTCTCCACAGTGGTGAGACCGCTTTCAAAAACATGACGATTCCTTATGGGTGGGCAAAACGGCCAATGCTTCAGCGGATAGGAGATTTGCATCCTGACATTCCAGTTTCTGTGATCTTTGGTGCCCGATCCTGCATAGATGGCAACTCTGGTACCAGCATCCAGTCACTGCGACCGAAGTCCTATGTGAAGACAATAGTGAGTGTGGATCTGGCCTTGTTTTTCATTGATAGTGAAGTCTGATTGATTACTCCCTTGAGGTTCCCAGTCTGGGCCCCATTCAGAGACCTGATGTCACAGGGATGTGGGAGGCTTTGGGCCATACACACTTTTATGTCTCAGTAGTGAATCACCTTTCTGAGGGTCTTCTCAGTCTCTGTGGGGACACTGAAAGACTGGTCCAGTATCATATAGGCTCACACCCACCTCCCAACGCAGTACACACAATTGAACTGTTCACTGGCTCCTGCATTAACCCATCAGTTTAGAGTGTCTTTGTGTTTCTTGCATGGTAGAGTTATTAAGATTCAGGAGATTTTCCTGTTTATCCCAAAGCCTTCTGATGGAAATCCTCAGTAATTTGCAGATGAGTCTCACTTACCTTTTTAAGACTTAGTGGCTCTTGTTTCTGAGCACAGTTGTCTACCTACTGTTGTGTTTCACTCACTGGCCTTGCTGGCTCTTCCTTTCCCAGGCTATCCTGGGGGCAGGGCATTACGTGTATGCAGATCAGCCAGAAGAGTTCAACCAGAAAGTCAAGGAGATCTGCCACACGGTAGACTGAGCACACCGAGCTGTGGGAGCACCTGTGACTGACGCCATTCTTGAGCAAAACCCTACAACCACGGGAAGAGTAAGAAGTACAACTCAAGAACCAGGCAGTCTCCTGGACTGGACTCTCCTGGACTTACGAAGTCACTTCCGCATTTAAACCAATTAGTGCCTTCTAGAAGAATGGCTTTCCTTTCTCCTACACAAAATTGAAATACACAAAAGTCGTCCAGTTTAATAGTAGCCTTAAATAAAGGTTATTTGTCCTTCTGATGTACTGAAAAATTGTGGTTTTTCAGCTGAGACTTTTCCCATTTTTACCTCACTTTGCTAGTTAGGTGCTTTTCATATTTCAGTCTATATGCCAATTTAACTAAGTGACTTCTGGGTCTGTTACGTTAAATACTGTGAAGGTGCACTTTATTTTGTTCTCATGTATTTACCATCTCTAACAACTAACATAGTTAATCCAAGTATTTTTAAGTAAAAAAAATTCATTTTAGAATACTTCATTTTTGAAATGGAGTTTAGAATATTTCATTTTGAAATGGAATGAAAAGATAAGTTTTGATTAAGAAGATGAGAGTCGATTGCTAGTATTAACTCTTCTGGTTTTCCCGTTTATGTTTAAGGCTGCAAAGCTGTGTTCAGCATTTTTAGTGTGCTCCATGGTGACATGCAGGATGCCACAGCACAGTTCCTTGGAACCTTCTTTGTGTGACCCTGTTCTAGGCTTCTATAAAAATATTACGTATATACTCAGTAATTCAGGAACTGAGAAGCAGAACCCCAGGTGTACCCTTTCCTTCCTGTGAATGCTGTTCTTTTCCAGGAACCAGGATATAGCGAATGAACAGGTTTTCTCAGTTACAGGGATATTAAGACTGTTACCTTCCAGTAAACCAAGTCATACTGTGTTTTCATGAACAGCTAACTTATATGGTGCTTAATACATTTGTAACCACTAACATTTAAAAATAGGTGGTGCTGTTATATCTCATGGCACCAGAAATGAGCTAGAACTTGTATTTATTTTTTATTGAATATTATGTTAATCTAATCACTTATATACTTGAATCAAGATTATAAAAAAATCTATAATGTTCTTTGAACTGTTTGACAGAAACCACCATTGAATTTCTAACTTTTTCACAGTTAAAATGAGGGAAACTTTGAAACTATGAAAAAGCTCCATGTGGTAGCTGGATGCTAAGAAAGCCCCCTGTACAGAGAACAAAGAGGATTGTTGTTTCCAACATTGTTTGATAGATCACACAAATGAAAACTGGACCAGCACAAATCATGGCTTGGTGATTTTGGTTATTGCATTTTTAGTAGCTAATTAGGAAATTTTTTGGAAAATATAAGATTATATCACAGTTAATTAACTGCCAGAAAGATTAACTGTTCTGTTTTCCACACCCTTACCTACAGGAGAACGTGTGAATTACACTAAAGCAGGAGAAGCAGCTTCCCAGTGACCCTTTATCTGACTTGTTAAATGAACTAGGTTGTTACAGAAAACCAACATGAGACCAGAAGTGCTTACTTCCAACACCTTGAGAATAAAATAGCATTTTCTTTGATGTTAGTGTTTTAGATGGCCAAATTCAAACTTGAGAGTGGTACAAAGTCTGGGCTGTACTTTTGTTTGACACTCACCAGCCTCAGTCTCTGCTAGCTGAAAGAGGAAGTTTCTCCACAAGAAACAGATCCACCCAAATGTCAAATGAAGCTGGCTTTCCTACTGACTGCTTTGCTTTATTGGAAACATGTCATGATGCTTCTTAACAATTAAACTTTTCCTTGGTATATGTGATTTTGTAAAGATTGAAGCAGAGAAGTTTATAATCTGAGAATTCTTGAGAATACAATGGTCGCTAAATGTTTTTCTTATAAAAGGCCTCTTAACTATACTTGACGTTTGCTAAGTTATTTGTACCTCTGCTTTATTTTACAGAATAAACTTGACAGTGCTGGCACCAGAGGGGCAGCTGTGTGTTTTCCTGACTCTTTGGCCTGGCCCCATCTGTTAGAACGGTTCTGACAGGGCCATGATCCAGTCGTGTCCTGTCAGCACTGGTTCTGAGGGCTGGCTGCTCTGAGCTGTGCCAGTTTTGTGACCACACACAGCATCACCCAGTCCATGCGGGTACTAGAAATGGTTCTGTTCTCTTCATCGTGGAGTGCCTTTCACAATGTCAGAACTCTTTGAATGTCCTTACTCATATGTGTCTTTGATTAAACCGCCATGCCAGGTCCAGCAGCACACTGTACCAAGTATAGGAAATAAGAGCCCTAGAGGAAAGTAGTGGAGAAGAAAGGGTGACTGATGGGGTGACAGCGACAAACAGCAAGTCCAAACAGCATTGATGGGAAACACATAAAATGGTACAAGTATGGATAATCATGTGAAAATTAACACAGAATCCATTCCTCTTGTGTACAGGGATAAGTCTGAATAGATCAATAACCCAATTAGAAAAGTGAAAGCCTCTGAGCACTGTCAAGTTAGAAGTCTGGAACCAAACATCGTTCAGCTATAACACGATCATTGTATTAATTTCCCCATGCTGGGACAAAATATGGGACAGAAGCAGTTGGGAGAAGAAGAAATGATTTCATCTCAGCTTTGTAGTAGGCAAGGCGTGGCAATATTCAGGGTGGTAGGGGCGGCAGGCTCCTTGTTCATATCTCATCACTGACCAACCAGGAAGCAGAATGCTCAGGCAGGGATCAGAGCTGGCTCTCATCCTTTAGCCTTGGCCTCCATCTGCCAGCTATGGCCAAAAGCTTGCGTGACTTAAACCAGCTGCCAGCTGAGGACCAAGCACGTATCTATATCAGTAACAACCCCCAGCTGGGGACCAGGCACACATCTATATCAATAACAGCCATGCACTGGACTATTATACAGTCTTATGAATGAGGTTGATCTGTAAGTGGCTATATAGAAAATTTCTAAAACATCAAATTTTGAAAACCAGAAAAATGCAGAATATTCCATGTATATGTATGCAGGCACACAAAAATATGTGCGTGCATACAGAATAGTGTGTGTCTGAAGTTTCTTAAACTTATGCTTAACACACATATGCTCATAGATATGTATAGACAGTTTTTGGAAGAGAAATGTGTACTTGAGTTTGTTAACAGTGGTTAGCTTTGAAGAGGGACGCTTCTGTTTATATGCATATATAAGCTTTGGAGCCTTGTACATTCATTATGTTTTAATACAAGCCACATAAAATATAGGGAAGAAATCTTGGTTACTATAAAATAGCTAAGAAGGCAACTATGGGATTTTCCTGGCTGTGTTGACTTCTGTATGGCCATGTAGATCCATGCTGGGGCCGAGGGTCAGAGTCAATGTGTGGAAGACTGCATGCCAGTTATTAAAACTTGAGCTATGAAGTCATAGCTTGGAAGTACAGACTCTCCGTTGTTTTGAAACAGGATCTTGCTATGTCACCTGGACAAGCCTCGAACTCATGATTCCTCTGCCTCTACCTCCCAAATGTTGAACTGCAAACATGTGCTAACACACCTGGCCCACCTTCTTGTCTTAAACTTGCTGAAAGGGTCCCTGGCACTAGAATACACATTTCTCTATATTAAGACTTATTTCTTTTTTTTTCTTTTTTTTTTTTTTTTTTGGTTTTTCGAGACAGGGTTTCTCTGTGTAGCTTTGCGCCTCTCCTGGAACTCACTTGGTAGCCCAGGCTGGCCTCGAACTCACAGAGATCCACCTGGCTCTGCCTCCCAAGTGCTGGGATTAAAGGCGTGCGCCTATTTCTTGAGATGGGGATGTAGTTCACTTTAAGTAGAGTATTTGCCTAACATGGGCTTGGTCTCCAGCATTGATGGCACATGCCAATAATCCCAGCACTCAGGAGATGGTGGAAGAAAGGTCAGAAATTCAAGGTCATTCTTAGCTATGTAGTAAGTTTGAGATCAGCCAGGGCTATGTGAGACCGTGTCTCAGCAAATAAAAACCACGTTTCTTTATTCATCTCGTGTTTGCTAGCATATCCTCATGCCTTTTTCCCTGAAAATTCTCCTTAGAAGTTTTTTTTTTTTAAATGTTATGTTATATTCAAAACTGGCTGAATTTATTTGCCCAGTTACAAGCAATGATCTGGCTTTATGGTCACCTTAAATTTTTTAGCTAAGAGGTAAGCTAATTAAGAACTTCCTTATCAAATTTTTTTATAAGTGAGTTAGATAAGTTTTATTACATCATATTTTTTAATCCTTAAAGAATTGTGCATTCACTTAGGGCTTAACATGTTTCCACAAAGCACTTGGGAGGCAGAGGCAGGCAGATCTCAAGGCCAGCCTGTTACTCAGAAAAACCCTGTTTCAAAAAACAAACACACAAAAACAGCAACAACAAAAGTGTTTCCATGAAGTGCCTGTTAATTGAAGATTTAGAATAAACCAGGCCTCCTTTTTTTCTTCAATATATTGCATTCATTTGTGAAGGAAGAGTCCCTTAGCTGACAAATGAGAAGGCAGAACATTCTTTGTCACATGGTCCGATCCTGGACTCTTGTGGACATGGGTGTGTAAAGGCAACTGAGGCTTCTTCCATGGTAGAGTTAGGAAGGCGTCAGTCGTGGCAGGGTGGGGATAGTGCCCCATACACTACTGCAGTGTTTACAGTGCTCGTGTGAGCTTGTGTGCCAGTTTTCACAGTTAGACATTACAGCAACAAAAACAGTTGGGTGTGGTGTCTCAGTCGCCAACACCAAAGACTAAAGGTATTTCCCTCCTGGTGCTAACCAGCTTAACACGTTTCTACTGACTGTAAAATCCCATCAGACCGTTCCCAGATACCTGTTCAAGTGGCAGTGCTGGGTGGTGGTGGTGGTGGTTGTTTTGGTCGGGGGCATTGAAGCTAGGGCATGTGGAAACTTACAGAGTGAAGAAGAGAAGCCAGGACAACATGGGAGGGCTGCATTCTGATGAGCTAGCTGGGGACAACCTCTGCCCTCTGTGGGCCCCTCCCATTTCACAGTGTTTCTGTGGCAGCTGATACCAGAGGCTGTCATTCTCATGCATGAGTCTGCCTCAGCAGAAGTCTGAGCATGTCATGGGACTGTGCTGACTCTCAGCAGCAAAGTGCACTCAGGCACCTAAGAGTCCTGGCAGCTGTCTGGTACAGATGCAGAGCCAAGGCGCTGCTCCTAAGAGGGTGTCACTCTGAAGGCAGTGGGCAGGGCCTGGGAACCTGCACTTTAACAGGCACCTCCCCAGGCCCTGGGACGTAGGAATGCTCAAATGTCTCTCAGACAGTTCATTTGGCCAAATTCAAAAACTACAGATGCTAAAACAGCATTTTGTCCTTAGCCCAGTACCCCATGGGGACGGGCAGAAATTACATTGAGACCCTGGGACTTCTCTCTTGTTCTCTCTATGACTCCCCTTCATTTCACAAGGGCCGTGAGCTGCCCTTTGCTCCGCCCCTATTTGGCTCTTGAAGTCAGGATTGCTGGTTTATTTCCCGGAGTGTGGATTTCCTCCTCACTTCCTGGACTTGTGGATGAAAATTCCCTTCTGTAGTCCGAGTGCTGGCCTTCCCTGTGTCCATGCTGTCATTTCTTCATACTCTGTGGGTGAGTGGTTTGGCCCCAGCAGGATCTCACATTACTGTGTTGGAGGATGAATTCCTGAGTCACCCTTCCCTAGTGTCCCTTAAGACCTGGCTTAGACAGCAACTCCCAGTGCTGAAGGACAGGCTTGCACGTTTCCACACACACCTCTTGCCAGCCTGCTGTGGCACATCTGGCAAGCTCTGGCTACTCCACCTGTGCTCTAGGTTTGGAATCAAGAACTAGCCAGTGCAGGGAGAGCAATGTGGTTCCCCCCCCCCCCCCCCACTGCTTTTAGAGAGCAGGCTTATGTCAAAGGGTGGTGTGCAGGCGTCTTGTCTGGGCAGAAGCTGTAGTATCTTGTTGGCTTGTTGCCCCTGGGGTTCTGCTCACCTTAGCTTGACGCTGCTGTGGTCAGAGCTGTGTGTTTCATTGTTATCTGACAGTCTTCATGCTGTGGATTAAACTATGCAAATAAAAGCAAATGGTTAAAATTTTGGGAAATGCCAAATTCTTGTAAACAGAGGGAAAATTCAGAGGCTTCTAAGAACTTTGGATAGCAAGGCACCTCAATGTGCTGTTTCACTCAAAATCCCAGAAGGTCAACTACAATCAGTGAACAAGCCAGGAAGTCAGCAATGTTGTGGGAGGAATGCTTTTCAAACTTCTGCGTTGCTGATGGGAAAACAATTTAAGACAGGCTAGAATGGCATAAAATCAAAGGGACATGGAAGGGACAGAGGCAACTCACCCCAGAACCTGGAGTCTGGTCTGCATTTCCAGTGAGTCAGAACTTCCACACAGCTGACAAAACCAAGACTGGTACAGACTGCAGACTCATGCTAAACCAGTGGGTCGTGTTTGATTGGGGCTGGAACAGATGTAACCTTTGAGTTTATCAGAATCAATAGCCTCTCTACTCCCAACCCCCAACAATGTGCCTCACAGTTCATTTACAAGAGAAAATTCTTTAAGAGAAATAGTAAGCCAGCTCATGTATTTTTATTTAATATTTGAACTTTGCTTCGTCTTTGAACTGGATTGTAAATTGTGTATCCTCTGAGCACTTTGCCTTTATAAGCCACAAATCCTATAGATGCTATGTTTACTCTCGCAGGAGCCCTTCCCCCGTGCTCTATTGGATGACCTGTCTCATTTTTATTCTACTCTGTGAGCCCGGGTCTGCTTCACACTGAGTCCTGCTGAAATTCTTTTCTGTAGTAAAACCAAGCTCCCAGTTTAATGTGAGTGGATGTCTCAGAGGGGGAAAGTCCTCAGCTACAGGTAGCTGCGATTCTACCAGCCATGGTCCCCTGAACTACTCCCTTCGCGCCCAGAGGGGATGCTCCTGAAAAGATTCCTCCACACCTGAACCTGTCATTCTCGAGCTGAC